GAACAGTTCAATGAATCTCAAAAGATCTAGGAGTTTCAAAAATAATTAAAACCTAATAATAGATTTCGTTTATCTTAGTGGAAATTGGTGAATCGTCATTCACCTACCTTCAAATTGTTTTATAGCTTGGATTACGGCATACCTCTTATAAGTTATAAAATAGTTTGTTGGGTCCTAGCCTTAATATTTCATATTGGGTGTCATATTAAGGACTTTAAGATCAACTATCTTGAATATCTCCCAAAACATGTCTGGTTTAGACATTTATGATCTTCCCAAATCTCTTGAAACAAGCTTTCCTAAATGAAGATGATGTTCCATGGAAATCATACTTCTTTCACCTCCTCCAATTATTCTCCCTACCCCACAAGTTCTTAAAAAGTTTAAGGTCACTCGAACCCTATTGGCAAGTGATGGTATAGGTGTGGTCACATCTTGGAGATGTAGTCACATATTGACAAGCCAGGAGAGTTGGGTGTCAAAGTCTTGAGAAAGTTGGTGGTTCAATCACTTTCTAAGTCACATAGTGAGTTCTTTTGGAACACCTATGAAACAGACTATGACAAGACCCTTAATGATCTTATCTATTTGTTAAGATCAACTTCCTCAAAACTTGGTGGACATTGACAATAGTGACACAGGAAATCTAGAAAAGCATTCTCTTCCCAATGGAAAGGGATCGGCCATAGTCAACTCGGTTGAACAAATGGTAAAGAGAAAAGCTAAGTCTGTGATAGTCCCGTGTACCATTATCAAAGGGTCCATATGTTTATATTGCCAAAGGAAAGGGCATTGGTTGCGAAGTTGCCAAATTCACCTAAGGATGTTAAAGTCAATAAGGTTGACTCTACTTCAGGTAAAAATCCACTAATCTAACTCTGTTAAGTTTTTATTCTGAGATTCCTGATACATGATGTGACTGGGTCACATGGTAATGTTTTAAGAATCAAAGAAAAAGTAAAGGAACTTAAAGAAAGAATATGCTGAATCTGATCGCATAGATGGATTTCTATCGCGTAGTTTGAAAATCGGATTCTTGAGCTACTTCTTAGGAGTTATGAGATATTGCTTAGGAATAGATAACAATAAGTTTTCATATGGATTGTAAGGATAAGTTTTTCCGCATAGTTTTAAAATAAAAGAAATTTTTTGATTTTAGTTATTTTAAAATATCCTTACAATGGCATTTGAGGAAAAATTGTTGCTTATATGATTCCATTAATAGCAAGAGTGGAAGTATGAAATTGATTCTTTCATTTGTGGTAATGTCTAAATTTACCAAATAAGGAAAGATTCTCATCACCCAAGTTTCAGTTGGATCGGAACTTGGAATCATGCAAGTTGTATAACATGATGAATGAGAACTTTCAAGTATTGGAAAAATTAAGACTAACTACTTATTCACATGGATGTGTGAGTCAAGTAATGGACTAAGGGATCGAGTACATAGTCATGTGCACTGATTAAGTCCACCACAAAAGATTGATAAGACTATTCGTCATAGTTTACTAAAGCTGAGTAAATATGATTATACTTACAAGCTTAAGTGTAACTCTGAGACATTGGAAAAGGTTCCAATGTATGGCAGAGCGAATAAGAAGAATCAAATTAGGCAGAAGGATAAAAGTTTCTCAAATCTGAAGAGATGGGAGAGTACTTTAGTATCAGTTTTGTGATCATCTTAATGATTAAGAAACCATATCAAAATTAGTTCTCTAAGGAAAGAAGAGGAACTTGAATTGTTGAAATGGTTAAATCAAGAAGATGAGTCATACTTCGTTCCAATACAAGCCTTAGAGTCATACTCCAAGATTGTAACTTGAGTGACATGTCTTTAAGAAGGTTTAAAACACGTGTCAAATGTAAGAGTAAAAGTGTCCTACTATTGTTCATTTGAAGTTGGTAAGTTGTGATGTTTTGGATAAAACAAAGACCAACTTAGGCCAACTATGTGAAGTGTTTGTCTTGGTTAGAATCCACACTATCTCTTGGATGTTTGACAAGGGAGTCTTATAGGTCAAGAGGATAGTGGGAGTCTTAAAGGTCTTGAAAGTCTCAAGAACTAATCAAGAATAAAACCTAAAGTTCTTCACTAGCACACGACTTGAGGTTTATAACCTATCGTGTTGACATAATCTGTGCCCATTCCAGTTAAAGTTGAGTTCTTAGAGTTCTCAATTGGTTGCACAACAACTTGGAAGCAATGGCAGGCTCTTGAGCTGCCAGGTGGCAAGAAGTTAAGATTGAGTTCAGTCCATATGAGTTTGGATTTGTCATTATCCTTGTCTTGTGACTATGGTTTTGACAATTCACATGGATAAGAACACATACACCATTAAATCTAAGTGTCATAAGGTTTCTCTCCGATTCATGAAAATGATGGTGAGGAAACACTTTCACTAAGTAGATTTTAGTTAGATAGCAATTGTGATATTTGCATTCTCAAAGTCATTAGTGGAGCGTGTGTGGTTTACCGGTACAGTAACCTGGACTTGTGAGAAGTGGCAAAAAGGTCTAACCATTATGATTACGGCATCCCTCTTCATGATTGTTTAGACACACAAGTGTGCTATCTAAGGGAAGGTTTATGATTTTGATAAAGTTCTATCAAAACAATCTAGTATCAGAAATATGAACTTTGGTAACAAAGTCAATAAAGTATTGATTTCTAGAAGTCCAGCTGATTTCTGAGTACATGTCAAAGCTAGTGGGAGCATAAGTGTTATGCTAATAATCATCATGTTAGTGGGAGCATGATAATTATTGAAAACAAAAGGTTTGAATTGGGAAAAAGTTGTTTTGCTATAATTAAGGGAGAGGAAATTATACTTCATCTCAAATATATAAGCTTAGATCGTGAGGTTTTAATCATTTAGTCAAGGATATATATGAATTTCATGTTGGAATGGCTCAACATAAGGAAATTCTGTATATGGGTCCATTATTTGCGTTCTAAAATTCGATTATGATTACGGCATCCCTTTTCATAATCTGAATTATGAGAACTTGGCAAATAGAAATGGAAATGTTATAGCAAAAGACTGGTTTAGTCTTTATGTGAGACATCATGAATCGTATCCCATATACTTCGGATATAGGATCGATTACATGTGCTATATTCATCATTTCTAAAAAAGTTTCCAAATGCCTGGGGCATTAAGAAGGGAAAAGCTTTAGAACTGGATATGACTAAAAGGATTAAACAATTGTCGAGGACAATCTAAGGTTTACCAGAGATTGGTTTCTCAAGGAAAATTGGAAGTATAGTGATAATTCTGGAAGGACCATATTGACATAATCTATAAGGAGGCAACTCTTATTCAGAAGTGATAGTCAAAATGAATCTGGAAATGTTTCAAAATCAGAAATTTCAATCTGTGTAAGATTAAGGAAACTTAATGCAAGAAGGATGTTTCCAAGGAATTGATCTCCTTTGGAATACTCTGTAATGATTGTTGCCAAGTCTTTGTGAATTTGTGCATAATCGTTACAAGAGGATCAATGCATATAAGTTTAGAATCTAACAGATTTCAGTAAATGGCATGAATTTGGAATTCTTGCATTTGCAGTAAGGATTTGGGAGTGTGAAAAGAGAATCATTGAAGTTATGTTCAATTGATCTAGTTCACAAAGTAAAGATCATAGACAAACATAGTATGCATACTTGGTGTGTGGCATGGCTAGTGTTTAAAAAAAACATAGTGTACATGCTTGGAGCATGGGATAACTATTGTTTTAAATTCAAGAATAAAGTTGATAGCTGAAACGGTATACAATGAATAATGTGTAAGCATATGGTGATAAATAAAAGGTGTTTTATTTATGTTCATAGGTTTTGATACCATATTGGATTCAATTATTCTTGTGTTTCACTTTGCATGTTTTGACTTCCCGAATAAACTAGGTTATTCATCTGGAATGACTAAGTTATTCAAACCATCCACGGTCGGTCATATGTTGGAAGTAGATATGAATTAAGACTGTCATGGGTTGGCTTGTAGAGGTCTAAGGTGTTGGACAAAGGGCTACAACACTCATGAGTGCTCATAAGTTCTGAGTATTGGATTCAACCCGCGCTCATTGGAATCACTTCATGGATTTTGTCACGAGTGATCATGAGATGATAATATCTTATATTCTTCAAACCTAGAGATATGAGTTGTTACTATGAGTTGGTTGTACATTGATTGCACGAAAACGCATTTGGTAACTCGGTGCTATAAAACGTGCCTTTATGTATGATTCAACAAGTAGTAGAACAAGCCATATGAGTCGAAGTTTATCCATTCCTTTTACCTTCGGGATAAAAGCGATATCTGTGGGCCCCTCGATGATTTGATGATGAGAAATGGAAGTGCTCGGCCAGGCCAGGACTTATTTGATTTGTTCAATTAGTCAGTCGTCATAAATCACTACAAGAAAATAGCCCTTTAATGACGCGCAAACAATGACACTCGCTGATAGACAACGCGCATTTGCAAGTGCCCTAAAAGATAATGTCAGTTTTGCAAAATTTGAAAGATAGAGGGTGTGCACAAATGTGCGCGCCCTAAAATTAGTGTCAGAAAAGAAAAAAAAAGAAATGCGGAGGGCGCCTTTCATAAAATGTGCGTCATTTAAAGGTGTCGCTTTATAATTTTTAAGTGAAACACGCGTTTTAGGCGGGAAATGAAATCGATGAAAATTACCCCCGCCTATTGAACCCTAAAAATTAATCCCCCCGCCTCTTCTACTTAGCAAGAAAAAGCCCTAGGTCCCTCACCTTCATCTTCAGTATCATCAAACATCTCGTTCATCCTCTGCATTATTTCCATCGTTCTTCCCTCTCCTCACTGATCAATACCCAAAAAACCCTAATATCATAACCACTCGTCTTTTCTCGCACAACAAAATCCCAAAACATCACCAAATACTAAATTCCACAAAATCGTTGTGACCATTTTAGCTAGGGTTTTTTTCAAGAATGAAAACAATCTCGCATCTCTCTTAGCTCTGAAATAATGGATGATTCACCTTGCTTCGCCACTTCTCCTCCAGCGACGTCAGGCCTTCCTCATTACAAATCGACCAACGATAAGCTAATACTTATAACTGAATGGTTTCACTCTCAGTTGGGTGTGCGACTCCTCCATCGCACTGATGACTACGAATGTGACTCTTCCACTACACCTGTGATTGCGTCCCGTCTCACCTCCCTGACCGCCACCTTAATAGGTTTATCTATTCAATTAGATTTTTCTTTTCAGTTAGAAATCGATTTCGTCCCCCCCAGCTCTTCATCTCTTCACTAAAATCTCTCTTCATCTATCCACTAAAATCTTCACGGTTTCTTTAATTTCACTCCAAGGGTTATTTGATAGCTTTTGTATGGTTTATTCCCTATACTGAATCGCTAGTCAAAACCATTGTGGTGGTTGTGGCGAAATCAAAATGCGGGATTGAACCATTGTAGCAGAGAGATCTTGAAACTTTTGATTAATACTTCTCAAGTCGTCTCCAAGGTAATGTGAACCTCTTGATACTTCTCATGTTGACTCTCTTTTTTTAGTATAGCTATCGTCTTTTAAAATTAGGGCTTCTGTTTGAATCATTTCATTGAACGACAGGTGAATCAGACCATCTTCTCAATTTATTTGACATTGAAGAACAGTGCGTTGAATTTCTTTGTCGTGTCCAATTTATCTCGACCAGATCTCAAGCAGGTTTCAATCTTCATCTCTATTGATGCTCTAACTTTTTTCCTTCAATGGAACTGTGGATTTTTATAAACACTAGCTTCTACATAAACCCCTCTTTTAACCGAGCTTGGAAAGACCACATGACTTTCCACATTTAAGAGTTCTTCCTGAAGATGTTAATTATTATTATTAAATATTACTCTCTTCATAATCAAATCATGCAAGAAAATGAAATTCCTTTTATTAATTTTTTTTTCTAATAACAGGGTGTTGCAATGCTTGATATTTCTAATTATGGATGAAGAGTTGATCATCATAGAGATATGCGTATGGATATTGATCATATGTCTTATGAGTATACAAAGATTGGCTTCTTTTTTAGTCAAATTACGAAATTGACCTTTTGTGTATATGCAGGAGCTTCTTGCATTAGGTGAGCAGATTGGGAATGCTGGATCAAGGTTATCAGAGGATTTTATTTCAGGTTATTTGTAAACAAGGGTATTTATGTCTTCTAAGTTGGAAGTTGTTTCATCTGCTGATCAAGAACTTAGTTTCTGCACAATTTGTCAGGTAAGGGCAAATTCGTAAAAAGTTAGGGAAAGAAAGTCTCATTTCTTGATTTTCATGCATGTGGTTTGCTTTCAACAATGGGACGCCTGAAAGAGAGTCAAGTGTACAATTTTCATGCAGGTGGTTTGCTTTTCAACATGATGATACGTGTAGCCGCAGAAAATCAACAAGGTGGTGTTGCTGCTATAGACCATGGGGAAATGCCAAATAATTTTAGTAAATTTATATCCTGTTTATGATGGTATTTATTTTTTATGCGTAGCGTAGTAAATAAATATATTTGTTTTTTGATATGATATTAGCATGTGGGAATAAAAGCTTGTACAATGACAGGGTTGAGTCTTTTGCAGCAGCAGCTGGAGAGGGTCAAGACAGGTAATTTCAGTTATTAATCCTGGAACAGATAATTGATATGTGTAGGTTTGTTCACATGTTATTTTTTAATAGTATAAAGATTTATTTCTAATCACTTAACCCTCTTTTTACTGGTGTAGGGAAAATTTCAGAATCTTCCAGCAATGACCCTAACGACCACTTATATACACTAGCATTTCTGATAGGGGTAAAATCGTCATTAGTAACGAAGAGTTGGTAGCTGATGACAATTCCAAAAGATCAGTAGCCTCTTTTTGCAAAGAAATGACTGTTTATGAGGTACATTTCCTATAAATTCCAAGTCTGAGAATTATAAGCCTTTTTTTTGCATCATTATCAAAGGGTATTTAAGACATTTGGTGAATATTTAAAGCTATCATTATGTGAAAGTTTGGATACTTTTGATAGAAACTTATAATTTTTAATGTAGAAATTCATCACCAGCAATAATTACCAGCAATAATTTGCTTTTGTATATCCATGCTACCCATGCCCTTTTCCTCTCTTTCCTCTTTTCCACTCGGAATCACACTACTTTTCCCATTATGCCCCTGCATGCCCAAACTGTTAGACTTATTAATAGAAGCAGCAAACTCTTGATTCTTTTCAAAGACCTAGTTTTCTTTTAAAAGGAATTTGAAATTTAGTTACTTCACTTGTTTATATATATTGTTTTCTGAAAATGTAATACAGGGAAACAATCTCAAGGTTGAGCTTTAGTCCTTAAGTGGACAAGCTACAATTTTGGCTGCACTTGCATCTGTCTCCCCAAAGCTGCCTCTTGGTTATCCAGCCAGGTAACAGTTTGAACTTTCTCATAATTATGATGCTGAAGTGGTAATAGACAATGGTTTTTAACTTTTTATTTATTTTGGTAAAGATTTCCCAGAACAATGCTTGATGTAGCTAGAAAAATGCTATCAGAAGCTAGCCGAAACACTGTGTTTGCTAAGGTTGAAAAAGAACCTACATGGTTACTTCTCTCATCTTTGTGGTAATAGACAGTGGTTTTTAACTTTTTATTTATTTTTTTTCTTCCAAGACTATCTATCTATCTATCTATCATCAGTTGAATGAATGAATACTGATGTTGATGACACTTAGGTTTGGTTCCATCATTTCTGGAGTTGTTCAATCTATGTTGACTTCCAGAAGTGGGAAAAAGAGTCCTCCTTCAAACAGCAAGCGTAGGCATGCACGTGGATCTTTTTCATTTCTGGGGGGAATACAGGTGAGATGGAATGCAGTTGGTTCAATCTATGAGTGAAATGCTTGGTAATTTATTTTGGTAATTTAGTATAGGAGTATGATAAAAACTACAATTGCAAGTGATGTTTGTTTATTTATGTTATATTTAGATATCTGATGGAGGGATGTAATGTAATTCTCCTAGGTTGCGAAATTTGTGAATGGACTATTTGAGTCAAGATCAAACCTTTATACATTTAAGAGCCACATACGGGATTTCCTTGTGCAGTTCAAAGAGTTTTTAGCATAGGTAATGTTATATAAATATAAATATAAGCCTTTTGGATCTTTTATTGTCATGGACTTAATTAAAGTTATCATGGGATTTGAAAAAAAAGTCATGTTTACTCTTCCATTCTCTGTTGTCAGATGATGTATGTATCTTATACAATATACATTTAGATTATTTACATGTATAATGCATTGATGTAATATGGTTTATTGAATTTGCGCAACCTCTTGATGCTGGTATGAATATGATGGGTTCCCAATCCCATAATGGAGAGACCCAATCTAAAATGTGTGTTCCTACAGTGGAGGAAAAAGAAGAAGTGGAAGAAGAAGAAGAATAAGAAGAAGAAGAAGAAGAAGAAGAAGAAGAAGAAGAAGAAGAAGAAGAAGAAGAAGATGATGAGGATGAATGTGAATCAACGGATTCTTCTAGCTCAAACATTGTGGAGCCAGGTATGAACTTGGTGCAAGAGGCACAATACAAGTGTTACGCTGCTGCTGGTGGTGCCCTTTTGGGGTGGGCCCGCACCAGCAGCTAAAACAGAGTCTCATCAGGTTCTTAAACCCACAACAGTTCACTCCAAGACCCCCATCAATGTGGATCAGCTTGTAGGTTTATCCAAACTCAGTTTAGGGGACTCAATCGGTGACAAGCCATAGCCGTCAGCAGCAGGTTCCTTTTTTATCCGACTTCACTGGGTAATGTAGTTTCATATACTTCATAGAATGTTTGTATTAGATTTAGTATATATGGTTACATACTTATATTTTTGTGTTTTTCTCATTTAAGCCATAAAATTTGACTATTTTGGTTTTATTTCCAGCCATTGACCATATATCAAGCAATTCAAATTGATTCTGTGAACAGTTGATCCCTGAAACTACTGATGAACTATGCATACACTACCTAGGTATTTTTATCACTTTTATAACCTAATTTGCTTATTGAATATATATAGATTTTTTTGGACCTGCTATTCCACATGCATATAGATTTTGTTGGTAGGTTCTAATAACAAAATACAACCACATTTACATATCTGGAAGCTCATCATCAGCAATTAAGTATATCTTTTTGTTCTATATATTTATGTTACTTTATAGTTCTTATCATGTTGAGTTTAGTGAGGTCAAAAAGCACAGTGGTTGTTCTGCCTAGAGATATTCATATGTTAAAACATTAGAACATTCGTATCAGAGAGGTCAAAAAGCACAGTGGTTGTTCTTCCTAGAGTTATTAATATATAAGAACATTAGAATATTCATCAAACATTAGAATATTCATTAATTTTCACTTATCCTAACCAAACTTTGTTTCGTACTTTTAATACTCTGGTTTCGATTTTATGTGGCATGTTATCTAACAATCCAAGAGCTACCCAAGTTTGTTGATGTTTGAATTATATGTTTCTGGATTGCAAGGTCCGCATCTTCTTGCTCCAACACGGAGTAACCTTGAAAGCCATAGGAAAGAGGGTACTGTGTTTGCAGGATAAAATTATGACCATTCATGGAAGAAGTAGATTCCCTGGTCTAAGTGTTTGGCAAAAATTTCGAGAAGATAGCATGCGATGCTACTGTTGAGCATTTGGTTGTGTCATATAAAGATGGAAACGAGGTGTACAAGGAGCTGTTGTATCTATTCAGACTAGGCTTAGAGTAATGGTTGCAAGGGATGAGTTCAGAAGAAGAAGAAACAAGGCTGCAATAACTATAGTTCAGGTACTATGGATGTTTGTAAAGTATTTAAGAAAATGATTAGAAACAAGGGTGAATTTGTACATATTATTTAGCTACTTGCAGGTTGATCTTGAATAAGAAAAGGGGCAATGGATTGTATTTTTTTGTATCTAATTCATTTGTAAATTTTTTGTTACTACTATTGATTTGTTTTATCTTTTCATGGAACGATTATTTGTATGACATTAAATTTATGCAATGGATTCTAGTTTTTGTATATGATATTTTATTTTCTATTATGAATCATTAAATAGAAATTTAATTTGAAAATATGTAAATCTATAAATAATAATTTTTTAAAACATTTAAAATCATGATACGCAAAAATGTGTGTCATCTTCATTTATGACATGGCCTTTCTTGACAGGGGCTTTCTTGATACGCATTGCATGTCATTAACACACGTGTCGTAAGGTTACGACACACGAATGCGTGTCGACTTCCTTTATGACAAGGCCTTCCTTGATACGCATTGCGTGTCGTAAACGTGCGTCGTAATTGCGCGTCGTAAATGAGCGTCGTAAATGCGCGTCGTCTCTCTTTATGACAGGGCCTTCCTTGACGCGCATTTGCGCGTCGTCTGAGCCTTTTACGACGCGCAATGAGCGTCGTAAAAGGCTGTTTTTCTAGTAGTGAATCGAAAATCGGGAAACAACAAATGGACAGAGAGAATGATTATAATCCATGTCTCATTCCATATGATATCTAGAATGGAGGAATATATGATCCCTTATCTAATGGACAAGTTCGTTGACAAGATCAGAGTTCGACAGCGGCTTTAAGAGCTACGATTGCCAGTTAGGTTTGAAGTCATACGCAATAATAGTTTTAGACTTATCCAAGTGGGAGACTGTTGGATTAATGTCTTAGTCCATAACTATATTTGGTATCTACTTGACCCGACCCGACATGGTCCATTTGGGTTGCACTTCACCGACACAATTTATATGGATAATCTTTTGAGAATAGTATGTTTATGATTAATATTAATATATTATAAGTTCTAATATATTATTATGGAATCATATTATTTAATTAGTATTGATCAAGAATTAATTTATAATTAATTAAGTGATCAAAAGGAACTAATTAAATATGGACTCTTATATATATATATATGGAATGGGCCAAGTTCTTTTAGGTTGGGCTAAGCTTTCATGGATAGTCCATGGAGTGTTTAACCCATGGATCCTAGGAAATGAAAGGTCATGGGTATTAGGGTTTAACCCTAATCCTCCACACTATATAAAGATGTCCTTGGTTGGTGAAATTGGCACTATTGTGGTACACCAAGAAGGGCTAGCCAATTTCACTAGAGAGAACCAAGTATCCATATTCTCTAAAGTCTTCCAAGGTGTTTTGGTGATTTGTGATTCCACTTGAGGCTTCCACACTATTGGGGCTATGCTCTTAAAGCTTGAAGACATCAAGCTACATCAAAAGGTATGTATTCTATCTTGTTACATTCATTGATTTGTATGCTAGATTAGGATAATACCTTGGAAGTTCTTATTTGCATGTATAATAGAGAAAACATAGATCCAAGGATTTAGGGTTGCATGTACACTTAGGAGTGTTAGTATGCTCAAAACCCAACACCCTCTGCATCAACACTGCGCCTAAGCCTGAGATCGACACATCGCAATATACCACAAAATCCTCCACGCCCTCGGGCAGGGCTAAGATCGGCGCCTTGCACAATCTCTGCCTCAGAGTCTCGAACGCTACCTGCTGCTCAGGCCCCCATCGAAAGACCACGACTTTCCTAGTCAACCGTGTCAGGGGTACGACTATCTTGGAGAAATCCTGAATGAACCTCCGATAGTAGCATGCAAATCCTAGGAAACTCCGAATCTCAGATGGAGACTTCGGAACCTCCCACCTCATCACGGCCTCCACCTTGGCTGGGTCTACTGAAATTCCTTTCTAATTGACAAGGTGCCAAAGGAACTGCACCTCGCGCAACCAAAACTCACATTTGGAGAACTTAGCGTACAACCTCTCCTTCCTCAGGGTCTCTAAAACCTATCTCAGATGCTCTTCATGCTCCGCCTGAGTCTTGGAATAAATCAAGATGTCATCAATGAAAACTATCACAGACCGATCCAGCATCGGCCTGCACACGCGGTTCATGAGGTCCATGAGCATGGCAGGAGCATTGGTGAGCCCAAACGACATCACCACTAACTCATAATGGCCATAACGCGTCCGAAACGCGGTCCTCTATATATCCTCCTCTCTAACCGTCATCTGATGATAGCCTGAACGCAAATCGATCTTGGAGAACCAGGATGCTCCCTGCAACTGATCAAAGAGGTCATCAATCCTCGGGAGTGGATAATGGTTCTTTACCGTCACCTTATTCAGCTCCCGGTAATCTATGCACATCCGATGCGACCCGTCCTTCTTCTTCACAAACAGGATCGGGGCTACCCAGGGTGAACTGCTCGGACGAATAAATCCCTTGTCTAGCAGCTCCTGTAGCTGCGTAGACAACTCCTGCATCTCGGGAGGAGCCAACCGATAGGGTGCCTTGGCTATCAGAACCGCACCAGGAACTAGGTCGATCCTGAACTCTACCTGACGCTCCGGAGGTATTCCAGGAAGCTCCTCCGGGAACACATCAGCGTAGTCTCGCACCACTGGAACCTCGATCACCGTCGCCTTACCCGTCTCTCGAGTATCCATAACATACGCGACATACCCCGCGCATCCCTGCTGAAGGTAGCGCCTAGCTCTCGCTGCTGAACATACTATAGGTCCACGCTGTGGCCTCTCACCGTGGATCACCAACTCTACCCTACTCGGGGTCCTGATCCGCACTAGCTACTGTACACAATCTATCACCGCCCCATTAGGGCTCAAAGAATCCATGCCTATAATCACCTTGTTCCCCCCGCAAAGGAATAGGAACTAAATCCACCAAATAGCGCTCCTCAAATAACCTCAAAACACAATCCCTGAACAATGCTGGTGCTTGCACTAATCGATCATCGGCAATCTCCACCTCTAAGTGGCAATCCAACATGCCCGAGGACTCAGTAACCTTTTGCTAAGCACAAGGGAAACAAATGATCGGGTGGCACCCGAGTTGAACAACACCTGAACCGGAATACCGTTCACATGGAACGATCCTAATGCATATACATAGAGCACATATCAATAACATAACATTATAAAATAAAGTAGAGGGAAAGAATCATACCCGTCACCATATCGGGTGCGGTGCGTGCCTCATCTGCAAACCAGCTGAAACGCCTGACTCCTCACCACTGGAGCCTCTGCCTTGCCCTGCCGGCCATCTGTAATCTGTAGGGTAGTTGGAGTTGGCTCCTTAACCGGCGCTGGTGATGTAAACTGGGGGCAATTGGCCTTCTTGTGGCCCCTCTGGTTGCAGTGGAAACACAACAACTCAGACGTCTGTATCATAGGTGCAGGAGCGGTACAATCCCTGCTGAAATGCCCCAATTTGCCGCACTTATAACAGCCCTACGATCCCAATCTACATGCCCCCTCATGAGGCCTGCCGCATTTCCTGCAGTCGCTCGGTCCTGACTGGCCTTTCGGCCTACCATCTGATCCCTTGGGCTTCTTCCCTGAAGCCCCTCCTATCCGTCCCTCCTCTGTCTTCCTCTTCCGGATGTGCTCCAGATCTATCTCTCTCTCCCTCGCCCTGGCAATCATAGAGTCCAAGATAGGGCAAGCTGAAAAACTGACATGCTCTCGAATATCAGCTCGGAGCATGTCATGGTAGCGGGTCCTCCTCATGTCCTCATCACCCGCATACTGGGGCACTAATAATGCCCTCTCCCGAAACTTGGCGGTGATCTCCGCCACAGTCTCCGTCGTCTGCCTCATATCTAAAAACTCCCTGGCCAGCTGCTGAAGCTCGATAGCCAGCGCAAACTTTGTCCTGAATCTGGTCGCAAAATCCAACCATGTCATATCCTCGACAGTTGAGGCTCCCATCGAGTCGCTCACAGACTCCCACCAATCCCCCGCTCGATCTCATAAACACCCTGCCGCAAACCTCACCTTCGACCCCTCAGGGCAGAAGCTAATCGTCTGTGCAGACTCAATGTCTGCAATCCATCGTCTGGCAGCTATGGGGTCCTTCGACCCATGAAAATCCGGTGCAACACAGCCCCGAAAGTCCTTGAAGGACAGTGTGCGGGGTCTTGACTGGCCAAATGCCATGTCACTCCTGAATGCCCGGATGCGATCCTCCATCATCTCCAATATCCCTTCCTTGATCGACCCGAAGATAACGGGGGTCGACTCAACGATGCCTCTGGTGATCTCTGACGTGATGAACTCACGTAGCCCCTCATCTACTGGCTCGGAACCTGGTCCCGAACCCGATCCCTCTCCTGTACTGCCTACTGCTGGCCTTGGGCGTAGTACCACCATTCTGAAATACAAAAGAAATAACAACCATTAGCGATACTGATACCTCTGGAGGGATCACACCTACTACAAGTTCCCTGGTCTTATCTTGGCCTTCCTCAGTTCGGGTACGGATCCTCTACTTTCAGTAGTACGGGCCCATACTACCTTCCACATCTATCTGTACCTTCTCCAAAGACTGCCTTGGCTCTACCAGGTCCCTTCCACTACTGTTGATCACTGTTACTCTTACCCTAGGTTTTCCCTAGGAAACCTCTGACTCCACCCATCCCAGTCCTCAGCTGTTGAAGGTCTCTTCGTGATGCCAATTAGCTATTACCTGAATACAATCACATGCGACGAGGCTTGGATAATCCTTCGAGTAAGGGACTCATCCCTACAACGGTTAGGAATCAAACAAGAGCTACGCAATAGGGTCAAATCCAACACTCTGAGATTATTCAACCCTGATCACATGTGACTTTAACGTATTCACCTAACAGCTAACTCCCATCACTCAAAGCCCACATAGCACCA